GGGACTTCTCCAATGGATTGGCATAATATACAATATTTCACGGCATGGTCTACTTTCCAGACCCCATTGAAGATATAAGAAATCCATTAAAAAAATAATGCTTATAAGTAAGCCACAAACGATCGAGAGATCCCAGACGCATGTATATATCTATCCGAAAATTAAAATAAATAAGGAATAAATTACGTAAAATAAAACAAAAGTTAGAAAGTAACGAAATACTTCTTAAAACGATTTCGTTCCGAGTAAAAGTACTCCAGAAAAAGTTTACTTTGTTACATGCTGACTTCTCAAAAATAGTACTCAAGTAGTGACGAAGTACATTTACTTCGTTATTTGACATCACTGCTGTCCGCCATCTTGGACTAATTCTTGACCTCATTAACTATGGTTTTGATGACGTCAGGAGTTGGGTTAACCATATAAAACTACTCTAAAATGACCGAGTAACAATCCAAAATTGTTTGAAATGTTTTTAATCATTCCTAAATTTCTGACAGCAACCAGAAACGGAGTTTTGGACCCATATTGATCGCTTACTCTCGAGATAAAAAATTAGCGTGACCCCTCTCTTGACGTAACATGCATATCCTCAATAATCCAAGATGGCGAACAGCTCACTTTTTTCAGTCAAAATATTTTGAAAATTAAGCAAGATATAAACAATCTGTAATAGAGTTTAATATATAGTTTTAAGAGTTCTTTCAAATGAATTAAACTAAATGCGGCATCCAACAATATTGGATAAAAACTTTAACGCTGCATCCAACATGTGGCAGTCCTGGTTTTCCTCGGATCCTGAATTTCTCTTTTTTCAAATGTCCCTCACAAGTCCGTAAAAACAATGGAAAACTTTACCGTTGAACAACACTTCACAATCTCAAATGACAGCTAACGATATACGATATGATTCCTCAACATTCTTCCATAACTTATTGTGAAAAATTGAAAACGTTCCTTTCCATCCGCACGAAAAATTCGCCTAGTGGAAGTCGGGCTCAAATTATACCGGGAACGTAAAATACCGTGTGTACAGTAACAAAACATTTTTCATGGAAAGTAAAGGCCCATTTCCACTAAGGAATATTTTCCGCAGAATGAAAAGTAAAATTAAGTATTGTACAGAAGCATACTACATTATCGGCTATAGTTTTTACTTCCAAATCAATATTTTCTGTACCTTATTTATTTGTTCTTGATGATTTCGATCTAAACTTTCCACTGCGGTCCTAAACAATAAATGCTTACAGTCACACATCGTTACCTGATTTCAACAATGCATGCAGCCATGGATGCTAAATTTTGTCAGTGCATGAATGTTGCGAACTAAACTAAACTAAATTAAACTAAGGAGGCACCAGATAACGCATTTTACTATGCAGCCAGTGGCAAGGGGGCGGTTGTTCCTCCCTGCCCCCCCCCCCGCCCAATAATTTCTGAAAGCCTTTGAATGATAGCTGAATAACTGTGCCTATACAAAGCTGTAACAATAATTTTTCAACCATGAAAGCATTGATACGAAATATAATTGAGCATACAAGTTCTTTGAATGTTTGCATGGCGATAAAATATAATTGTTTTTGTTTGTGGAAACACCACGAAATTTACGTGGTGTTTCCACAAACAAAAACAATTGAGCATATATTGCATAAATTTATGGCTTTCCAGCATGTCCGGATTTTGAGGAGAGGGGTGAGGAGGTGCGCATCTCCCCTGAGATCGTTTTGCACCTCCCCTGAGATCGTCTTGCACCTCCCCTGAGATCGTCTTGCACCTCCCCTGAGATCGTTTTGCACCTCTCCTGAGATCGTTTTGCACCTCCCCTGAGATCGTTTTGCACCTCCCCTGAGATCGTTTTGCCCTCCCCTGAGATCGTTTTGCACCTCCCCTGAGATCGTTTTGCACCTCCCCTGAGATCGTTTTGCACCTCCCCTGAGATCGTTTTGCACCTCCCCTGAGATCGTTTTGCACCTCCCCTGAGATCGTTTTGCACCTCCCTGAAAAGTCATGCACCTCCTCTTGGGAAAGTTTCAATGATAGATCAAAGTGAACATTTGACATTTTTTGGTCGCTTACGCAACTACACTTCGTAAGAAAGTTTTTCTGTAAAACTGAAACAGTGACAGCCATTCATCTCTAAGTCAACTACCCTTTTATAAAAGGAGCAGTGTCTGTGTCATGGCGCTGATTGGCTAAAATAAACGGCACAAAGAAACGTTTAAAATTAATGCTACATGATTGGAAAAGATGCAGCAGCCTTCAATTTTTAAAACAAAGCAAGGATGTCCTGCATAACGAAGGGATTATAAATGGTATATGCATTTCATTCCTAACTCGATAATTGTTGGCGGACAGTTTTTCAAGTTCGCGTATATTTTGGATGCGGAGTAGAACCGTGACACTGCCCCTTTAGTAGTATGTTTTGAAAGAAACTTTGTAGTAATTGCAATGAAGAGCACAATGGATGAGTTGTACAGTCATAATTCATTAATACACTGATACATATATGCACACTACATGCATACTACTAGTACCCCCATGTCGTTGACTTTGGCCTGTTCTAAGCTCTAACTTTCCATGGGGGTCGTGCATGAGCTAGACCGCTGCACCTCCCCTAAATTCCCCCTCCTCTATTTCCACCAAAATCCGGCCTTGATTTCCAGCTACAAAAAGTCATATGTTGGCAACTTAATCCCCCCTCCCCGCAATACTTCGTGAAGTGTTCGCCACTGTATCTGGCTGGATACTGAATATTCAGGCGTAATCATTTCAGGTGTTTATAGTATAGTCCAACATCGATAAACATGCATGGTTGGAAAAGACTTGCTCAAAAGGTTCAAATTTCAAACTTGAAAAATCACGCAAGCATAAAAATCTTAAAAATGTTAAACTAAACCAAAATATAAACTAAGCTAAATTAAACTGCAGATAAACTGAACCAAAACTTTATTTTAAAATGCAGGATAGCTCCATCTGCAGTTGCGTGGGATATTTGCAGAGTATGACTATATATATAAACTGACAAATAAACCCCACTTACGATGCTTTCACCAGAAGTCTTCGTTTTTCGTTCAGTTCATTTTTCAGTTTTTCAATTTCAACTTTCAATTCAATATTCTGGATATAAAAGCATGAAAGTATTAACAATTAAAATTGTCTGCAAATAATCGATAAAGAATTAACGAGCAGGCCACATGCATGTGTGACTACAATCATCAATATATGATTAGAGTCATTAACCACGATAAAATACAGCTTCTCTTGTAATGCCTAGTATACCATGCACCAATAACAAGAACCGGCTTGCTATTGCAATATTAGACAGATTTAGATCGAGGACGCGGACGTCAAAGACGACGCGAAAATGGAGTCAAAATGGCGTGGCATATCCATATATGGGCACAACACGCCATTTTCACGTCGTCTTTGACGTCCGCGTCCTCGATCTAAATCTGTCTATTATATATTATATAATAACGTTAAGAATTCAAGCACTTTCATTGGTCGAGAGCCATGATCTATTAACAATTAAAGTAGCCAATAGCATTCCCTTATTTGTATACTGTAGATCATGTACGCGTGATATTTGTAAAATTTTGACTTTTTCAAATTTCCAAATGTAAACTTGGGTAGATAAAAAGTAAGTGATTTACCTGTTTAATTCGGGGATTTTATTTTTATTATAAAACACAAACGAACAGACAAGGGCAAAATCTTATCTATGTGTTAATCATTACATGGTGCACGCCTATAATAACGCACAAGTTGTTACAGATCTGAAAACAAATTGTAACAAGGTTGTTAATTGTCAGCTGATATCAGGATGGCTTGTTCTCATTCAGGGTTCGTGGTCTCCAAGACCAAAAAAAATCAAAGACTTTCAAAGATTTTTTTTGTCTATTTTCAAAAACTTTTCAAAGACCTTTGAGAGCAATCAGCTGTCGAAAAATTGCGAGTGTAAGCACAATTTTTACTCAGTAATTAGTCGCGTCAAATCACATACCCTAAAATGCGCCTTTTCGTCGATATTTACGAAAATCGTGCTTCAATCAATCTATTTTATTACCTAGGGAAATCGTATAATCAATTCCTCACTGACGAATTTAAAGACTTTTAAAGATTTAAAGACTTTCTTCGCTTTTTCACACAATTCAAAGACTTTTCAAAGACCTTAAAGACCTGCATTCAACTTTAAAGACGTTCAAGGATTTCAAAGACCGCTACGAACCCTGTCATTGGTGTGGCGAGTTTTTAAATTTCTTACCATTTTAAAAGCATCGTCATCATCAACATCTCTTTGTGAATGTTGAAGTTTTTCCTCCAAGAAATAAATCCTTAGCTTCAATTCAAAGTTTTCTTTCTTCAACTCTGATATGTGCTGTATAATCAAGATTTTAAAATTTTACATCTGTACAAAATATGACATTACAAATAATTATTGTGTAATATGATACGCCATGGTATAAGCCTGGTGCAGTATAAAATGGCAAGTTATGGTATGGTATATGCAGCATTACAGTATACAAATAATGAATGTTTATGAGTGCAATGGTAAGAATATTTTCATGAGGTGAAAGATGGAATGTCCCATTCAACGAGGCGACAGCCGAGTTGAATGGAACATTCCATCTTTCACCGAATGAAAATATTCTTACCATTGCACGAAGAAACATTCATTATTTGTTTTATATAATACCAAAATAGACTAATAGATTCGTATGAGAAGCATTTTGAGGGATGCGATTTATCGAAAACACAAAGAGTGCAATTGTACTATACGGTTTTTTTCATTACACTCGCGGAGAGTGCAATGGAAATGGAATTTTCTATTCAATATCACGTGACTATAAACAGCCAATTAAACGATTAGAATTTAATAAGGTATTATATAATATATATTGTATGGTTTGGTATGGTATGCTATACTGTATGGCCATGGTTTGGTAATGATGAACAATGAACAAAATTTTTATCTAGACAAGTCTAGACAAAAATTTCATCACAGCTTGAAAGAGCACCACAATATTAGTAATATTTCGAAGTTTCGTTGCGAACTGTTTTGAAATGCGGATAATATAGCCCTGCAAAGTTTGCCGTTTTTCAGTCATTTTGTATTGGGTACGGAAAATTGATACCTTTTTCAGAAAGCGGTATCAATTTCCGGTCCGTAACACAAAATGACTGATAAACGGTAAATAAATGTTTATAAACAACTTGTTAGGAAGTTTGCTTTGAGTTTAGGTTAATTAACCTAGGGTTAAGCTAATCAGCTTTCAAACAACCGGCCCCTGAGCTAGAGAGTGCAGTTGTAGAGCTCTAACCACAAGCTCTTGTACATATATAGTGGTGATTCAAGCAAAATATTATATACAATTATTACACCTAACCAGGAGCAGTTGTGCAGGGCTGCAAATTACTGTCGGACATCGGACAATATCCCACTAAATTTGGCGAATGTCCGAGCAAAAGAAATTTTGATTGGACATTGGTCCGATCACAAAAAAAAAATTGTCACATACATTTTTTTGTTGTGACAAAATCCGATTGCAAATTCACAATTTGCATTTTGCAATAAAATTTACGAGGCGTTCTAGCATTTTACTTAACGTTGCGCCGGTGTCACAGCGGATAGTGTCCCTCGGCGGATAGTGCCCCCCCCGGACAGTGTCCCCTTTAATTACTTTGCCGCGAATAGTGTCCCCCACGTGAAATTCAAAAACAAAGGCTCATCTTAGAGAGAAAATATATTTATATAAAAAGCTTTACACTAGATTTTGCAAGCAAGCTATAGAACAAGAATTTAATTATATAAAGATTACAGTAATTCATAATAAAATCGCACAAAATCATGTCGTCGCCTCACTTCAGGCATGAGACAATACAATTGCAAAACAATTCAATCTCAAAGATGTTTGGATCTTCTCTAGCTATTCCGTTTGCTGTTAATCTGTCCTGGGAAAGGCTCGAACTCGCCATTCTCGAGGCATCTGATCAAAAGATCTCGCATGCGATGTTGTTCG